GTTAGAATTGGGATCTCTGGAGAGGATTGCTGGGATACATACACACAGCTATACACAGAGACATATATACATACACACACACACATACATACACACATACATACACAGATAATCTAAAGAATATGTGTATGTGTGTGTGTGTGTATCAGTGGTTTCCAACCTGTGGGCCATGAGCATAAAAATCCAATCTGTGAACCTCCTTCCTCTTTATTTATTTATTTATTTAATTTCCGTTCCTTTCTGCACAGCTGACCAGTCCCACTCCTTTTGGTACTAACGTTGGAGAGTGGTCCCTGGTCAAAAAAAAAAAAGTTGGAAACCACTGATATATATGGAAGTGTTGTACTTGGGATCTCTAGAAGGGATTGCTGGGATACATACATACATAGACACAAACGTATATACATGAATTCACACATAGATAACTGCATTGGACCTGGGACATCTGGGGGATTGTTGGGATGCACACACATGCACATACAAAAATAGTCTAAAGAAGATCAATAGTTTAAACATTTTTAATGCTTTTATTCCAGCGAGAGCAGCTATTTTTGATGTTATGTCCTTATGTTTTCGGTAATTGCAATTATTCTATTGTAAGTTATGTTCATTTGACCTATGTAAATTTTTTGGGTACAATTTTAACTGTTACTTGCTGTAAGCTGCCCTAAATCCCTTCTGGGAGAGGGGGCAGGATATAAATAAAACATTATTATTATTATTATTATTATTATTATTTGATACATAATAACATTAGTACACAGCAAACAAGATCACTATGCTGGCTTTTGTAGACACTTCCCAAGTGTCAGGGACTGTGTGAAATATTGGCGAAGAATGCGTGCAGATCCGGGTAAGGTGCCTTTTGCAGCTGGCAGATGGTAATTTTGTCAGTACCAATTGTTTTTAAGTGCAAACCAAGGTTTTTAGGCACTGTACTCAGTGTGCTGTTCACTACTGGGACCACCTTGAGTGGCTTGTGCCAGAGCCTTTGCAGTTCTATCTTAAAACCTTTATAGAATCATAGAATCACAGAATCATAAGAATTGGAAGAGACCATGTGGGCCATCCAGTCCAACATCCAGTCCGACACCCTGCCAAGAAGCAGGAAAATTGCATTCAAAGCACCCCTGACAGACTGCCATCCAGTCTCTGCTTAAAAGCCTCCCAAGAAGTCTCCAACACACTCTAGGGCTAAGAGTTCCACTGCTGAACAGCTCTCACAGTCAGGAAGGTCTTCCTAATGTTCAGGTGGAATCTCCTTTCCTGTAGTTTGAAGCCATTGTTCCGCGTCCTAGTCTCCAGAGCAGCAGAAAACAAGCCTCCTCCCTCCTCGCTATGACTTCCTCTCACATACATGGCCATCGTATCTCCTCTCAGCCTTCTTTTCTGCAGGCTAAACATGCCCAGTATCTTTAAGCCGTTCTTCATAGGGCTTGTTCTTCAGACCCTTGATCCTTTGAGTCGTCCTCCTCTAGACACATTCCAGCTTTGAGTCAACATCTCCTTTAAATTGTGGTGCCCAGAATTGGACACAGTGTGATTCTAGGTGTGGTCTGACTAAGGCTGAATAGAGGAGTAGTATGATTTCCCTGGATCTAGACCAGTGGTTCCCAAGTTTTTTGGCCAGGAACCACTTGACCAGGGAGAACTCTCCAAAGCTAATACCAAAAAGGTAGTACAAATCAGTTTTTAGTCAACTTTAGATTCGGTTTGGGGTGCCGATTCAGAAAACTGCATTGGGTAGACCACATCAGCTCTAGTTTATGATACAGAACATATGCCATGGTCAGCGACAGGGAAGAAGTGGCAGGCAGTGCAAAAGGAGCAGAAATAAAAATAAATAAAAATTAAAAATAAAGAGGAAGGAGGCTCGCAGACCAGATTTTCATCCTTGCTGCCCACTGGTGGTCCGTGGCCCACAGGTTAAGAACCACTGATCTAGACATTATACTCCTATTTATGCAGGCCAAAATCCCATTGGATTATTTTGCCGCTGCATAACATTGTTGGTTCATGTTTAACTATTTGTCCACAAGGATTCCAAGATCTTTTTCACACATACTGCTATCAAGCCAGGTATCCTCCATTCTGTATTTTATCATTCTTATTCTTATTATTAAGGAATCATTCAACAAACACACCATATAGATACACACATGCAAGCATTGCTAGGATTCATACACATAGGGCTATATATGCGATCTCACACAAATATACTGAACAATATATATAGACAGCAGAGTCTCGCTTATCCAACATAAACGGGCCAGCAGAACGTTGGATAAGCGGAAATGTTGGATAATAAGGAGAGGTTTTAAAAAAAGCCTATTAAACATCAAATTGTGGGAGTTGAAGTCCAAAACACCTGGAGCGCCAAAGTTTGCCCATGCCTGATATATATATGTGTGTATAATTTTACAAATGAAGCACCAAAACATCATGTTTTACAATAAATTGACAGAAAAAGCAGTTCAATCCACGGCAACATTATGTAGTAATTCCTGTATTTACGAATTTAGCACCAAAACAGACAAGGGTTCTTTCTTTCTCCCACCCTGGCCATTATTCCACAGGTAAATATACACTCCACGTCCCTCATCTGTGGATCTGGGTAGGAGGCAGACTGTGTTGGATAATACAGAACGTTGGATAAGTGAAGGCTGGATAAGTGAGACTCTACTGTATTATTATTATTATTATTAAGGAATCATTCAGCACACACACCATACACACACACACACACACACACACATATATATCAAGCATGGGCAAACTTCAGCGCTCCAGATGTTTTGGACTCCCACAATTCCACAATTCCTAACAGCCTACCTGCTGGGCTCACACACAGATATCCTGTGCAATATATAAGTACAGTATTATTATTATTATTATTATTATTATTATTATTATGAAATCATTCAGCACACACACCATATATATATATAGACACACACACACACACACACATCAGGCATGGGCAAACTTCAAAGTATTATTATTATTTGAAACACAACAAGATGAGTCCACAGCAGACACTCTGATGACTGTTGTATTGGATCACATATCGGACACTTCCCAAGTATCTAGGACTGTGTATCAGCGAATAATGCGTGCAGATCCCAGTAAGGTGGCCTTTTGCAGCTGGCAGATGGTAATCTTGTCAGCACCGACTGTGTTTAAGTGCAGGCCAAGGTCTTTAGGCACTGCACCCACTGCACCCATCACCACTGGGACCACCTTGACTGGCTTGGGACCAACTTGACTGGCTTGTGTCAGTCTTTGCAGTTCGATCTTTATTATTACGAATTATTATTATAAAGGAATAATTCAGCACACAAACCTTATATACATATACATATATACATATATATAGCGAGAGAGAGCAGATCCCAGTAAGGTGGCCTTTTGCAGCTGGTAATATTGTCAGCACCAACTGTGTTTAAGTGCAGGGCAAGGTCTTTAAGCACTGCACCCAGTGTGCGCATCACCACTGGGACCACCTTGACTGGTTTGTGTCAGAGTCTTTGCAGTTCGATCTTTATTATTACGAATTATTATTATTATTATTATTATTATTAATGAATAATTCAGCACACACACCGTGTGTGTGTGTGTGTATGTATGTATGTGTGTTTGTGTGTGTGTGTGTATATATATATATATATATTACTCTGGCCCGGCCCAGTTTTATTGTGTTTTGGTGTATTGTTTATTGCTTGTTGTTTAATACTGCTTTAATTGTTTTTAATTTGCTTTAGGTTTTGTATTGTTATGTTGTGTATTGAGGCCTTGGCCTGTGTAAGCCGCATCGAGTCCTTCGGGAGATGCTAGCGGGGTACAAATAAAGTTAATAATAATAATATATACACACACACATCAGGCATGGGCAAACTTCGGCCCTCCAGGTGTTTTGGACTTCAACTCCCACAATTCCTAACAGCCTACCTTATTATTAAGGTATCATTCAACACACACATCATATATATAGACACATACATATATCTCAGGCATGGGCAAACTTTGGCCCTCCAGGTGTTTTGGACTTCCAACTCCCACAATTCCTAACAGTCTACCTTATTATTAAGGAATCATTCAGCACACACATCATATATATAGACACATACATATATCTCAGGCACGGGCAAACTTCGGCCCTCCAGGTGTTTTGGACTTCCAACTCCCACAATTCCTAACAGTCTACCTTATTATTAAGGWATCATTCMGCACACACATCATATATATAGRCACATACATATATCTCAGGYAYGGGCAAACTTGGGCCCTCCAKKTGTTTTGGACTTCCAACTTCCACAATTCCATRCYTGATATAGTGTTGGACTTGRGCTCTCTGAAGAGCATTGCTAGGATACATATACACAGCGTTTTATATGTGCTGACATAGAGATATCCTAAGCAATGTATATATATGTATACAGGGCAGTGTTGGGATTCCTATCGGTTGTTTGCCCATGCCTRGTATAATGTTGGACTTGGGCTCTCTGAAGAGCATTGCTAGGATACATACACACAGGGTTTTATATTTGTTCACAYAGAGATATCCTAAGCAATGTATATATATGTATACAGGGCAGTGTTGTGATCTCTGGAGGGGGTTCCACTAGGTGAGTTTCCACAAGTTGGCCCAGGCCTGGCCTAGCGCATCCCCACACAAAGGCTCCAATCCCCTTTCCTGGCGCCAAGGCCGCACGACGCTCCCCTTCGCAGGAGGCCTGGGCCCCGTTCCCCTCAGGTGGGAAGCCCCCCGTTTGGGGCCACATGCCTCCCCCCCGTCCCCAGCTCCCTCTGGGCCCCTTTGGAGTGCCTACACCGCGATGCGTCCCTTCCCTCCCCTTCTTCTGAGGGAGAAGTGTGGCCCTTGCAGACCCCTCGCCCTCCGAGAGAGACCCCCGACCCTTAAACCACGCCCCCTCCCGCCACAGGCCCCGCCCCCAAATGGTGCCCCTCTCTCCCCCCCTCCCTCCTGCTCTCTCGCTTACCGGCGACTCCGGGCCTCTTTGGCTCTCTCTCTCTTTTTCCCTCTCTCTCTCTCACTCTCGCTCCCCCCTCTCTCGGGCTCCGCGGCATCCAAGATGGCGGCAGCCTCCCCCCTTCTCCGTTCGCCGGGCCCGCCTCCTCTTGAATCCCATTGGTCGAACTCTCCGCCTCTCAAAACGTCCCCTGTTTGTATTGGACCGCGGGGATAGAGACGCCGGGGCGGGACGAGCGCTGCTGTCACTTATAAGATTGCCAGGATATGATTCGTTAAGACGCGACGTCCGTCAAGCCGCTCCCTCGCAGGGATTGGCTGAGACTGTACGGATGTGTACGGCTTGGCCTCGCCTACCGCTCGTCGGAAAACAAGGCCAAGGGCGGGACTAATATAAAAACGGGTTGCTCAATGGACAACGGCTTTGTCTCTCAATTTTTGCTCTTCGATCATTGGCTCTGAGTTTATCGACGCGGGTCCCTCATGAGAGCAAAAATGTAATTGGACGACAGCGCCGCCACTCAATCCTATTAGTCCTACTATTTGGCTGCTGCTTCTAAAGCGAGGGGAGCGTGAGCTGCCATTGGCTGCATGGGAGCGAGCCTGCACATGTTGCCCTCCCATTGGGCAGCCCTAACTTCCCCAAGACCCTTTCTTCCTTGCTATTGGCAAACGCCTTTACGGGGAAAGTGGGCGTGGCCAGACAGCCTGGGAGAAATCTCATTGGTAGACACAACCTGTCGCTTAAAATCGTCGCAGCCAATAAGAAAGGAGGAAATGACCTCAATCTCAGGTAAATGTTGATGGATGGCTCCTCTGAGCATCTCTTGTTTTTACAACTCTTTCTCTCCCACCAAGCACTGCTTTACCCTTATTATATGGATTTATACCTTGCTTTTTCACTGCCAAAGGAGATTCAAAGCAGCTAACATTACAATCATAACAATGCATGAATTCAAGCCTAACACATTTAAACATTAAAGTAGAATCTACCTATCTATATCTATTAGGCTTGGGCAATCCATGGTTCTAAATGGTTCTAAAGTACTTACAAAACTAAAGTTCTGGTGGTGAAAATTTCAGAACTCTAACAAAACTTTCAAAATTTAATTATTATTTCATTATTGGTGATTTTAATGACAGAACCAATTAGGAACTGCCATTTATTATGAAATTTTGAGAGTTTTGTTAGAGTTCTGAAATTTTCACCACCAGAACTTTAGTTTTGTAAGATATTAGGCTTTTGCCCAAGCCTAATATCTATCTATCTATCTATTTATCTACATAAATAAAAAAAATAAAAAATGTAATGTTTGTTAGTGGGATTAACAGAACTCAAAAACCACTGGATGAATTGACACCAAATTTGGACACTACACCCCTAACAGACCAACGAGTGACCATCACACATAAAACACTGAAAAAAAACAGCATAAGGGACTTTAAAAGCCCCCAAAAACATTACACATATACACAAATATATACACACACATATATATACACACACAAAACACATATACACAGACTGGGCCACAGCAACACATGGCAGGGGAAGGCTAGCTATAAATAAAAATGTCATGTTCGTTTGTGGGATTAACATAACTCAAAAACCACTAGACGAATTGACACCAAATTTGGACACTACACCCCTAACAGACCAACAAGTGACCATCACACATAAAAACACTGAAAAACAGCATAAGGGACTTTAAAAGCCCCCCCAAAAAACATTACAATGCATGTACAAAACCACACACACACACACACATATACACACACAAAACACATATACACAGACTGGGCCACAGCAACGCATGGCAGGGGAAGGCTAGTATAAATAAAATGTAATGTTCGTTTGTGGGATTAACATAACTCAAAAACCACTGGACGAATTGACACCAAATTTGGACACTACACCCCTAACAGACCAACAAGTGACCATCACACACAAAAACACTGAAAAACAGCATAAGGGACTTTAAAAGCCCAAAAAAACCAACATTACAATGCATGTACAAAACCACACACACACAAGCATACGCATACTCTCTCATGAGAGGAAGAAGCAACCAACTCCAAGACATATTTCTAGCTCCAAAGCATCCCTTGGGTGTGTTGCAAATTTGCCTGCTCCCCTTTCTCTGCTTTTCTGGTCTCACCGCAAGGCCCCCGGTGGAGTCTGGGTTTGAGAAAGGCATCCAGGGCGTCTGGAAAAAAATGAGGCCCAAATGTTTATATGGGGAGATACAGACAAAAGAGGAGGAAAGCAGCAGAGAGATTGCAGGGAGTACAGCAAAGCCTAGCCAGTGTTGACAATATTGTTCTAGTTCATACATGCATTTATTTCAAGATATGAAAGCAAGGACCATAAGGAAGGCTGAGCGGAGGAAGATAGACACTTTTGAACTGTGGTGCTGGAGGAAAGTTCTGAGAGTGCCTTGGACTGCGAGAAGATCCAACCAGTCCATCCTCCAGGAAATAAAGCCCGACTGCTCATTGGAGGGAAGGATACTAGAGACAAAGTTGAAGTACTTTGGCCACATCATGAGGAGACAGGAAAGCCTAGAGAAGACAATTATGCTGGGGAAAGTGGAAGGTAAAAGGAAGAGGGGCCGACCAAGGGCAAGCTGGATGGATGGCATCCTTGAAGTGACTGGCTTGACCTTGAAGGAGCTGGGCGCAGTGACAGCCGACAGGGAGCTCTGGCGTGGGCTGGTCCATGAGGTCACGAAGAGTCGGAGACGACTGAACGAATGAACAACAACAATACTCAAGGTATTCATCCCAACTCTCTCCTGCTCTTCTATCTATATAAATAAAAAATGTAATGTTCGTTTGTGGGATTAACATAACTCAAAAACCACTGGACGAATTGACACCAAATTTGGACAATACACCTATCAGGCCAACAAGTGACCATCACACATAAAACACTGAAAAAAACAGCATAAGAGACTTTAAAAGCCCCCAAAAACATTACAATGCATGTACAAAACCACACACACGCAAGCATACGCATACACACACACACACACATATACACAGACTGGGCCACAGCAACGAATGGCAGGGGAAGGCTAGTATAAAAAAAAAGTAATGTTCGTTTGTGGGATTAACATAACTCAAAAACTACTGGACGAATTGACACCAAATTTGGACACTACACCCCTAACAGACCAACAAGTGACCATCACACATAAAAACACTAAAAAAACAGCATAAGGGACTTTAAAAACCCAAAAAAACATTACAATGCATGTACAAAACCACACACACACAAGCATACGCATACACACACACACATATATACACACACAAAACACATATACACAGACTGGGCCACAGCAACGCATGGCAGGGGAAGGCTAGTATAAATAAAAATGTAATGTTCGTTTGTGGGATTAACATAACTCAAAAACCACTGGACGAATTGCTACCAAATTTGGCCACAAGACACCTACTAATCCAAGGAGTGACCATCACTCAAAAAAATTCATTTTGTCATTTGGGAGTAGCAGCTGCTGGGATTTATAGTTCACCTACAATCAAAGAGCATTCTGAACACCACCAATGATGGAATTGAACCAGAACTTCCATGATCAACAGAACTTCCAGGATCAACAGAAAATTATAAAAGTATTTGGTGGGCATTGACCCTGAGTTTGGGAGTTGTAGTTCACCTACATCCAGAGAGCACTGTGGACTCAAACAGTGATGGATCTGGACCAAACTTGGCACGAATACTACATATGCCCAAATATAAACACAGATGGGGTTTGGGGGAAACAGACCTTGACATTTGGGAGTTGTAGTTACTGGGATTTATAGTTCACCTACAATCAAAGAGCATTCTGAACTCCAATGTTGGAATTGAACCAAACTTGGCACATAGAACTCCCATGATCAATAAAAAAAATACTGGAAGGATTTGGTGGTCATTGACCTTGAGTTTTGGAGTTGTAGTTCACCTACATCCAGAGAGTACTGTGGACTCAAACAATGATGGATCTGGACCAAACTTGGCATGAATATTCCATATGCCCAAATATGAACACTGGTGGAGTTTGTGGACATCACTTTGATCATTATGGTTCAATGCTATGAAACCATGAGAGCTGTTGTTTAGCACAGAAAGCTAAAGACCATGTAAAACTACAGTTCCTACGATTCTATAGTCAGTTAAAGTGGTGTCAAACTACATTAAGTCTATAATATAGATTAGGTGTGGGCAAACCTGGGCCCCTCCAGGTGTTTTGGACTTTAACTCCCACAATTGCTAACAGCCTCAGGCCCCTTCCTTTTCCCCCTCAGCCGCTTAAGCTTGCTAACCGAAAGGTCACAGGTTTGACTCCGAGGAGCAGCAATTAGCCCCAGCTTCTGCCAACCTAGCAGTTCAAAAACATGCAAATGTGAGTAGATCAATAGGTACCGTTCCAGTGGGAAGATAACAGTGCTCCATGCAGTCATGCCAGCCACATGACCTTGGAGGAGTCTATGGAAAACGCTGGCTCTTCAGCTTAGAAATGGAGATGAGCACCAACCCCCAGAGTTGGACACGACTGAGCTTAATGTCAGGGGAAAACCTTTAACTTATTTCTTATTGTAAATTTGTTTTTATAGGTTATTGGTTTACATATGCATATTGTTTTGTATGGTCTTTTATATAATGTTGTAAGCTGTTTTGGGTCTCATTTAGGGAGAAAAACGGGATATCAATAAAGATTAATAATAATAATAATTCATTCTCTGATGCAACTATATCCCCAGCTGATTTCCTTCTTTTGACATAGCTATTAAATTGTTGGGCTTAATATTTATTTATACTGCTACAATGATTTGTTTTGTCTACTGCTTCACCTGTTTGCATCTCATTTGCTAAGCTGTATGTTTTCTTCTGAGAATAGAAAGAAAAGATTCCCTTTTCCTTAACTCTGATAGTTCCCTTGACTGATCATTAACATGTTGGCATTCTCCTGAGCTTAGCAACCATTTTCCTTTTATTGAATGAGTCTTCTGGGTGTGAAGCATGTGACGTACTAGCCATTCTCTAAGGAGCTCATAATGAGCTGTGAATTAGGCTAGGCATTGGATAAAAAGCTAGGAGGCAACAGTTTACTACAGTACAGAAA